AAAATATGTATATATTTAATAAATAATTTTTCGATGTATTCTATTAGCTTAGTCGAATTGCTTTGGAAATTCTGTCTTATAAATTGAATCTTTTAACATATATTTTATATACATATATATGATATGTTATGCACTGCTGCACTAACTTTGTTCTGTAGCTAGTAAAGTAACTATTTAGGCCCCAAAATTATGGCTTGTTAGGGGTGAATTGATTGAAAGAACTATTAGTTATGAATTCGAGTACGGAAACACTCTCGGACTCCAGTGGCAAGCAAGAGAGGGGAAGTACGACCCAGTATAATGTCAGTAAAGGGCTACAAACAAATAGACAACAGAGCATTAAGCATTAACAATTTTTATATTTGACACTCACACAGATGTCCGATGTGAATTGGGCTGCTTACAACGCGTTTCGCTGTGATCTGGCCAAGGTGCAGAAGACTTTCACTTGCTGCACTCAGACGGAGTTCACCGAGGAGGTCGGCACGATAACCGAATTGCAATTGGGCTGCAAGTTCCCAGTCAGTGCTCCAGCTCCAGCTCCACTCAAGAATGGACAGAACTGATGGAGAAGCTGTCGAGCCGCAACCGTTGGCGCACAGCTCGACATGGCCTGTCGCACAAACTAATGACGTCGAGCTCAAAAAGTCGGTTACGATTCTATTCAATGCCAAGGAAGAACATGGCGTGGTCCGGCTGAGCCAGTCGGACACAAGCTTTGAGAGGAGCCAGACCACCTTGCTAAGTGCTGCCAAGCTGCTGCGGCGCAGCCAGTCGGTGCAAATAGTGCCCAAGTCGGCCAGCGAGGCGTACCTAGCCACGGATCTTTCCGAGTCTGCTATGACAATATTATCAGGAGCCACAACCCCAGCCCTCATCAATTACAACGGCAGTGCCTCCACCATTGGGAGCGCCGGACACCTTCTGAGCGATTCCCGTTCCTCGGGCTATACGACGGAGAGCAGCTATCGAACAGCCACAGCTGGCAGCAGCTTTAGCCTGGATAGCTCCATCTACCTGAGCAGGCGACAACGCAGAACCGACAACTTCATTCAGGAGATACACGTGGGCATGGAGCCGAATGCCACAGAGTCACAAGTGCAGGCAATCCGCGACGATCTGCGCAGTCTACTGAGCAACGAGCTGTCGCTGATCCATGACACGTCTGGTGGCAGCAGGCGAGCCGTCTATCTAATTGCCTATCAATACATGTAGGCTGTGTATCAAATATAAATTCCTAAATTTTTAGTCTTACTTCAATTGACGATTGCTTTTTAAATGAGGTTCTTAGCACAGCTCCATGGATCAGATGAAGAAAGGCGATTGGCTAGAAGGCTCAGGGTACGGAATTTACTGAGAGTATTTTCCAGATGAGAAATGGGGCTTGGTTGGAAAGCTTAGGGTACGGAAAATACTGCTCTAGGGTTGTAAGGTGTAAGTAGTTTCATCTACTGGAAATACTACTACTGAAAATTCGACAGAAAGAGAATCGCTTTAACTGGGTTCGAATACTTAGCTAAACAGGATTTAAGCTGTTGAGTTTCCTTGCCATCTTCTCGTACTGATTAACCATCAATTTATCCTTTATTGAAAACCTTTGAAGTCCAAGGTCAAGTCAGTAAGAGATCTGTCTTATATCTATACTATACCCTCACATCAGATATTTGTTTCAGATCAGAGCAAATCTTATATATTCATCATGTTACCTGGTACTTTCAATAGATTCATTTGGCTTGGTCGAGCTGCCAGCTTTTTGCCGTTTGCCTATTAATCTTTGAAGCCTGTAGATGTACTGGCCTGTAGATGCATATAGCTTCCAAATTTGTAGCGTCACTTAAACCAGTTGTGCCCATAGCCGATCTTGACATCATTCGCTTGTTGACATTATGACAAATTACGTGCGCAAAAGGCAACAAAATGCAACCCCCGGCGGAAGGATGTCGAGGAAGGAAACAAGCAAGCTAAAGCGATACGCTTAAGCATTGGTAGGGTGCTGGCTGTCTAGGGGGGTGCACCCCTTGTGACGTTAATAGGAAAGCCACACAAGAACAACTAACGAACGGCACGCGGCGGACAGCGGGCGGGCGGACGGACGAACGGACGGACGGAAGGACGGACGGTTGGTCGAGTGAGCGACAAGTGCGCTAGCCCACAGTTTTGAGGGTTGAGGTAGCAGCGAGGGGTAGAGCGGGGTATGGGTTTGTTTGCCCAATGCTAAGTGCACGAGCCGTAGGCAAGTGGAAATGACAAACATATTTACACAATTTTTGACAGGCTCAAACCCAACATACAGAGCCAAGGAGCTGCGAACGGGTGAAACCAAACACCCGTGGGTGCAGCGAGCTGCCCACTCCTCCTCCTGCTCCTCCTGCTGCTCGACTACACTGCAAACAGAGCAACCCAAACTCGATAAATATGTTTATGTGCAAATAACAAAATATTTGTCGATTGCCGGTTACTTCAACTGCTCAGCTGGGCGTGGCAGGGGCAGCGACAGCGACAGGGGTAAGAGTCGAGGGTTTCAGGTTGGATTTGGAGTTGGGGTTGGGGTCGGAGTTTGAGAGCTGCTTCACTTGGGAAGCACCGCAAGCGCATAATTCAATTTTTCTGCTCGTTTTGCACGACGCTCAACGAACGTCGCTCAACTCCGCTGGGATGTGTCGCAGCATCCAGCCAGGTCTTTGCACTGCTTTGAGTCGCTCTGCTCTGCCCTGGCTGAATATTAGCGCCACGTGTCCTATGCGATGTTGCCTATGCGGTTTCATGGTATGGCCCTGTTATTTATTTGTTTGTAATTACGCGTGCTCTAAACAAAATCCCGACGCATTTGAGAAACGCGCCCAGTGCCAATAGCGAGTGCAGTCCTGCAGCATGCTCTTTTTTCCAATGCTGCGACACGTGCTCGAGCTGGAGGCTGGCGATGTTAAAAGGCCTCCTGCTATTGGAAGAACGGAGAGCAGCTGCTGGTTCTAGGTATTCCCAGCGCATTAGCAACAATAGCCGAGATGCTAAGCCATTTGGTCATTGTCAACAATTTTGGGACTCTGACTTTGGCTTTGTTTTGTCTCCACATCCTCAGCCACAGTTACAGCCACATCCACATCATATCCAGCTGAAGCGCGTGTCCTTCGATGTTATCCTCCGTGTGTCAGTTGTCAACATTTTGGACTGGCTTTTAGCTACGGCCTTAGCTTGTCAATTGATTTGCCTGGGATCAGGCCACGACATGCGAGGCAGGAATCGAAATCATAATTTGTGCTTGGGGTTGCTCGAATGTCTTCCAGCCGGATTTGCGACATAGACAAGCAACAATGAGAGCTAAGCTCTGCCAAATATAAAATAACATGCATCGTGTTTTGCTAACAATTATGAAACATGAATCGAATTAGAGCAATAATCAAAATTGAGCTATAAGCTGAATGGTCTGCTCGAATATATGACAGCCACAGCCCCAGTGGGCTTATAGTATGTCTGTATATCTATCTGTCCATCTATATATAAGTTCCGTTTATTCGGCCTTCTTTCCATCCGGTATATATAATAATATTTATCCCCTATTCCGATTATTTATTTATAAAACGATTTGTCACATAATACAAAAATTGAGTACAATAAAAACGTACAATAAAAAATAAATGTGTGGAAAAGTGTCAAGAGAAGGTGAGTATGAGTATAAAATTCCTACAAAAAAATTCTTACATTGCGATAAATTCCTACATTGCTATATTTGAAAGTCATATCATCAAATTTATTAAAAATATTTCTGGAAGTATACCCACTTATATAAAGTTAACTTCCTTATTATCAGTAAATCCATCTCAAAAACTTGAGACAAAAAGGCTGCTTGTAACTCGAATGTGCATCTCCTTCAAATATTTCTCCTAAGGCCATTATACCTATCCTATTTGTATGTGTTTGTGGAAGAAGCCTAGAATACCTGGAACTTGGAATACCGTGAGATTCTGGTCCAACAGCTGAAGTATACTAATTTTATAATCGATTTAAATATTGATATTCAACTAAATATGTTTCGTGGTGATAGATTTACAAACAATATTGATTTATTATCTGAATTAGCAACTTCCAGGTCCACAGGTGAATGAAGAAATAGTTAGCCAGAACACCTAAGGGCGAGGCTGAGATAAATCGGTCTTATCCGATATATTTGATATAGATGAACTCGGAAATTGATATATCGAATCTCTAATCTCTTCCTAAATCTCCGCTCTAATAACTTTTATAAAGAACAATAAACCACTTTTCTTCATCTTCATCTGTCAGGTTGTCATCTATAGTATATTTAACAGCGAGTGAGCCTTCTTTATGATTTCAGCAATTATATTATGAGTTTCAACGACCGAAACAGCATATGAAATGAGCGAATATGAACGAACGCATTAATGCGGTTAGGTCAAGCAGCTATGCTTAATTGAAAAACACTTATGGAGAAGGCTCTTCGACACAAGTCAGGGTAACCGCACTACTGTGCCACAGGTGCCACACACCCACACACACACACATAGACACACTCACATCGTTTACTATTTATACATACATATGCAAGTCCGACTACAACCCACTTCCATCAGCAATCAACACTTTAGACACATTTCATCTGCTGCCCTAGCAAAAATCACAAAACAACAGCGAAAAACTTGGAATAATTAAAAGCATAAATAAATAACTGTTAGTTACACAGAGGGGCAGATATGTACTGAGAGTGAGAGAGAGAGAGAGAGAGACAGAAGCTGAAAAATATTAGCCGAGACAGGTGCAAGAGCCATAGGCAAATTGCAGATGACGAGCTGGCTTGGCCAATGGACCTAGGAGCTAAGACCCCCGGACCTGAGACCGGGGCAACTGAGAATCAAAGCTGGTGCTTGGTACTCACCCTCGAGCGCTCGATTCCTTGATATTAAAGCCAACACAAATTCCGGATTTGGGTCATCGTGATCACCGACGCCAACCGCAGCATGTTGCTGATGATGGCTGTGCTGGCCAGCGAGCAGGTGCGATGCCTGCGGCGTGGGCGGCAATTGTTGCTGCTGCTGATGAATGTGTTGTTGTTGCTGCTGCTGTTGCTGTTGCTGTTGCTGCTGGTGATTATCCATGACTGACAGCTGCTGCTGCAGATGCTGTGGATGCGAATGTGGATGCGGATGCGGATGTGGATGTGGATGCGGATGCTGTTGATGCAATGGCGGTGGCGGTTTCAGCGTTTGCATCATCTCTAAAGCCAGTTGCATGCACACTCCCAACAACAACAACAACAACAACGAACGGCAGCAAATCGATGAGAACTTCCTTAATTTACAACTGGTATAAACACAGGCCTGTCTGTAGAGCTAATTCAATATCCGTTTCGTCACACGAGTCGTATGCGTAATAATTGAAGAGTATATGACGCACTAGCGAGCAGGCACTTTTCTTGGCACAATTTTATATAAGCCTGATCAATTTCAATTTTAATGGACTGCCCTGTATTTGACAAATAATTACATTTATATATATGTATATTTAAATATAAATATATTATATAGTGAAACACACGCGCGGCTAGCGCGATCCAACCTGGCAAAGAGGCGGAAATGTTTAGTCACGCGGCAGAGATTTTGTTTTTGTTATATTCCATAAGGTAAGGCAGACGGCACTGCCTTATAGATAGAGCCAGATTGGATCGCTCGTTGGTTGGTTGACTCGTTGACTGTTTGAGCACTGCCACTGCCACTGGCACTGGCACTGACTCTGGCACTGTGGCGCACCGTGTGTAATGCGCCGTTGCCGTTGCCGTCGCCGTCGTCGTCGCCGTCGCTCGCCTCGATTTCTTATCAGGCGGGCGAAACGCACGGCGGTTTTTCTTTGGTTTTTGGTACTTCGCTTCGATTGTGTAGCCGAGGAAACCAGTGTGTGTGTGTGTGTATTCTTTGACTATACTCGATGCCTTGCTATATCAATTTGGACTCTTATGTGTGTAGAGGCAGCTTCAAGTGTCTGCTTCGCAATTCAGTTACAAAAACAATTTCAATATAAACGAACCTACAAATAGCAAATAGCTCGAGCTTGTCGCCCTATAATGTAGGGTGCATGTTTTCTTCTTTTCCTCAGAGTTGAGTACACAAACAGAACATGAACAATGCCTATCTGCTTATGGCCTAATTATGCATCAATAGTCGAGCTACTGAAATTATAATAAACTGAACATTGTTTTGGAATCGCTAAAAATTAAATGCTACAAACATATTTCCATGTAAATTTGCGCTGTTGTGGTTAATTAAGACCTGAGCGTTTTCAATATGTTTTGGAAGTGAGAAAAAAAAACATGAACTTTACATTAACTTTACTGCTATTTTCATTTATAAAACTTCAGAATATCCTTTAATTTTTTATTTTAAAATATTTTTTATTCTTAGCAATTTCGTAGGAATTTTTCTGATTTGATTCGCACTATTTGTTAGAATTTTGAATTCGTGCTGTTTGTGTTTCACTTCGATTCGATTTCAACTCAATATTCACTCGAACGCCATTTTGCGACGGCAATTGGCAAACGCGACGGAAGGCAGCGACAAAATGGCGTCGGCGTCGACGGCGGCGGTACAGCAGAGCTTAACGGCGTGACAGTGCACGGCACGGCAACACTGGCAGTAGCTAACGGACGCCTGCTGCGTTTTTGTTTCTTTTTCTTTCTTTCTTCTTCTTTTTTTTTGTTTTTGTATTTATGTATTTTTCGTATTTATGTTGTTGTTGTTGTTGCTGCTGCTGCTATTTGTGGCACTCGGGCTGCATTTTTTGCGCACTTTTTGACGCTTTTGTTGCCGTTGTCGCTGCTGCTGCATCTGCGTCTCGCGTTATTGTTGCAGCTCTTCTTGTTGTTGTGTGAGCTTTTTTATTTGACTTTTACGATACTTTTTATGCCGTTTGCCTTTTTGTGTGTGCCCTAGCTAGTGTGCGTGTGTGGGTGTTTGTGCTTGGGTTTGTGTGTGTTTACCAATTGATCTTAATGTGACACAAATGATATGGTAAAATGCAGGCAGCCAGGCTAGCGAACAACACAACAATGGCGACAGCGACAGCGACAGCAACGGCGACGGCGACGGCGACGTCGTCGACAATTTTTATGCTGTTTTTAGTATGCGCACTGTTATGCTTAACTTGGCCCCACTCGCCCCCTCGCAGCCCGGGCACCAGTTAACTGTTGGCATGCCCTATACCTATATGTATGTAATCTATGCCCGTTCCGTTTCCGTTTCCGTTGCCGATGCCGTTGCCGTTCTCGTTCTTGTTCGTTATGCAGGCGGCATTACAATATTTTGTGAAACCTAAAAGTTTTAGCAGAAAAGTTGTTCTCTTAAGAATTTTCGAGTAATAACTGCAAAAAAGCGCTGCGGCAGCGGCAGCAACAACAACAACAGCCAAAGCTGAAACGAACCAACGCCTGGCGACACCTTCGCTGTGGCCCCAAAACAACAGTCAACAGCACTTAAAAGTCAGCGACGGCAATGGCATAGCACAAATATGAGAAACTTAACTCAAAAGTCCAAGTCAATACGCGCGGTCAACGCAAAAACAACAAAAGCCATGAACAGAAGAAGAAGAAGAATAAGAAGAGTACGAAGAAGAGCAGCAGCAGCGGCAGCAACAACAACAACAACAGCAACAACAATAAATGTAGCAGCAGCAGCAACTGCTCGCCTTCCAGGCCGCAACAAGCACCGCCCCTTTATATTGAAAACATTGGAAATCGTTGATAACAACAAAAGCAACAAGAGCAACAACAACAGCAAGTGCCCCGCCACAGTTGGCATTTTGGTCATGCGCGAGAGTCCGTTATCTTATCGCCAGCGACGCCATTAAACTGGAACTGGAAAAGCTCTGTTGCTTGGGCTGGGTTGGGTTGGGCAGGCGCTTGTACAAGGGTTAAAGGCGTTCCAGCGGCTGCGCACTGCAGCATGCGCAGAGCGGCCAGACCAGTCAATCATTATTTTTACCCAACTCGAGTCACCCTGTGCACACAGACACTGCGTATACCCTGTATGCCTGCCAAGCCACATAAAGTGCATTATGTGCGTTAGGCAATCGGTATTAAGAAAACTGAAATAAACATAAAATATTTTGAATATTTTAACTAAAAATTTCTTCTGCTTAATAATATTTATGCATTGAAAAATTTTAT